ACTAACACGAAATCGCTGCCTTGTCTTTGTATATGCATTTGTGTCTTATGATGCAATACTGATTTTGTATGTTGTAACGCGATGACACTAGTACATATAAAAATAACATTGACTACAATCACGTCCTGACTTCCTTATCTGTAATTTAGACAAATGTTTTCATCGCTAAATATCCTTATTGATACAGTGTAATATATTTAGAACCGTAAAGTCGGTAACCTTGAATGACGCAAGTGAATGATTTCTCTTGTCTGGTGTACAATCATAACAGACTGGAAAACATAATTCATTGCTATACATTAATAAAATGTTTCCATGACAATAAGAACACACTAAATTGGCTATCTTAGCAATAGTCATAATTTATTCGACTATTCAACTATTATTTGTAAAAAATAATTTACTAACATTACACCCAAACAAATATCAAGTAAAAACATATAAAATCCTAAATAGATACAGAAGTTTTTGAGAATTTTAATCATGATGTAAAAAGTTCAGTATGCATGGTGTTACTGGAATTGTTATTACATCATATAGATGTATTGGACATTATTTTTATGTTTTGTCACTCTAAACGGCTATAATTTGTGGGTTAGCATGTTATTTCTACTCTATTTATCGACATCTGTTAGTTCATACATAATGTCACTGGATATGTACAATAGCAGTATTCAATACGTTTAATATTATTTAATCATTACATGAATTTATTCACTTTAGTAAATATTTTAGTACGAAGTCGTAGTTTTGTAATTAGGAATTTAATTCTTTAATCTTCATAACAATAAGAATGTATAGTAATGTCAGTTGACTTGTATTGTCCATATTGGTGGAGGTATACTAATTGTTTAGCTGAACTTTCTCATGAGGTTTCCATATATGGGCGTATTAATGTTACCAGTGTGTTGTCATCACGTCTGATGTGAGATTTCCATTATTTACAATGCCGTGGTGTTTATTAGCGCAATCGTGACCAATCTTGTAATCAGGCGTGTCAGTGTAGCGTGACAGCAACACGCAATGAGGACCTCGATGACAACCTAGATAACTAATAATGGCCAATGATGATACTGCGCAGTGAACTATTGCGTGATATTCCAACGTTATGCCCGGTAATGATTAGTAATCATGCTGACGGTTTTATCACTCCCGAGTCTTGCTACTTTTGCATTTTACCATTGCATTGTTTATTCACTCTGATGCATACTTCATCACTATGTATTTTTGTTATCAGGCATCGCTATGCGGTTCTCGTTGTTATGTTCGGGTTCTTCGCTTTGAAAGTAAGGTGATTGTGAATGGGATGATGTGACCACAAACAACTGCGCCAAACTGTTCTGACGGGCGTTAGTACTGTTTACTCCAACGTAGGTTGTGTAGTTGATGAATCATTAGTCCACAAAATAAATAAAAAAATAGCAGGTGCGGATATGACAAAAACCAATATATATATATATCGATACTGATGCATTAACGTAACATGACTGTTAATACATGACGTGCAAGATAATGGAACTCATTCAAAGACTAACAGTATCGATTCATTTCTTTTATTTACAAAAGTGCTGAGCAATTGAAACTAAACGATGAGAATCACGATTAAAATATCAACTTTTTAATCATTCAAAGACTATCGATCAATATCGATTCATTTCTCTTATTTACAAAAACTACTATCTCATGACAAGTGCTGAACAATTGAAACTAAACGATGAGAATCGCGATTAAAATGTAATCAAGTGTAGTTCCACTGATTGAAGAACGCTGCATTGCATATTACAGGTCGAATAATGCCTAAAGCAACACGTATAACGAGACACTCGGTACGTACTTGATAGGAATGACGCACTAATGGAGACATTGATCAATTATAGTGTATACATGTACGTGGCAAATTTATTGCATTCATTTTTCAATATTATATTTTTAACTGGTGATATTTGATTTCGAAATGCATTATTATTATTATTATTATTATTATTATTATTATTATTATTATTATTATTATATATATATATATATATATATATACATATATATATATATACATATATATATATATATATATATATATATATATATATATATATATATATATATATATATATATATATATTACCCTATTGTCTAATTTCGGCGATTGCTAAGATGTACTATATGTTTAGCAACCATGACCATGAAAAAGTTATCGTCTTTTAATACTAGATGTATCTGTAATCGGTGTCTGTTTTTTTTGCACTAAATGTTGGATTGTTTAAATAAAAATTAATCGTGTGTATTTAACAGCAGGCAACGTACGCGTATACGCCATATATGATGAGCCAACACACAATATTTGCAAGCAGCGCCCAGACGTCATGTCAGTAAAATTTCGTACAGATCTACAAGGTTAACTCATTCCAGACAAATACAACGGAAATTTGAATCAAAAATTAACTGAATAATAAACGTAGTTACACTAATAAAAGCAGTGTATAACAGAAACAAATTGTATTTTTATAATTTCAGTGTTTCTCTGTTCATTAAAGCGGAACTAGTACGAGGTGTCACCCAAGGCACAATTCAGATGCTATCATACATATAACATGCTGTACTTGCTATTTACGCACTGTTAGTACACCTTGTCAGTCTAGTGGTGTATAAATATACCCTTGACATTATAAAATACAAGCTTTTAAGAACTTTGTATGTACAAAAACAATTATCAGTGGTGTGAATAAACACCTGACACTTCAAGTTCAAATACAAGTCCGTAACGATGCTAGCCCCATCAAACATAAAAAGTTGATAGTCATGGAATCCCGTGAAAGCTATATATCATTTTAGTATTTAGGAGACTGCATACCCGTTTGAATTGGATACGAGATTAAGTAATTATATGTCGACAATCATACTTTTATCAATAATCTATGTATATAAATAATGTATGTATTATGCTTTGCACATTAAAATAGGTATGTGATACTAAATTAAAAAAAAGATTATACAATATTACATAATATTAATTATGTATATTATTGTAAAAGATTATACATGAATAATTAAGACTTTTTTTTGTGTAGTGTCTACTCCAATACGCAATGACCTGGGATACTGAGATAAATAGAACAGACAGCAAATGCATTAAATGAAGCATGTGTGAATGGTATGGACTTGGCGGATAGAGCAGTTTACATGTATCCCATTACCCCGTGGCAGGATTATCCTATAATTTGATAGATAGAGTAGATATAAATAAATATAATACAAAGACATTGTTACCGTATTAACTTGAAGAAATGAACATTTAAATTGTGATCTAATTACCATAGCAACACGCAAACTGAATACGTAACAGCAGTATCAGTGACACGAATATTGAATCAGTGATTTGATGAATAAAAGTGTACGCATCGCTGTCACAATTACAATGTGAAGCAAGGCGCGTTGATTTGAAATAACGTATAATAACAGGTGATTTTATTTTTCAAATAGGGTGTGCAAAATATGTGATTAAAATGAAATGCCCATTGAATGTTGTAAATCCAAACTTAATGTATCTAAGTACCTGATATGTATGACGTCCCCCCCCCCACACACACACACAGATATTTGGAAAACGGTTAAGGAAGTGAGGATAAGCCGAAGGTGGACCAAAGGGATTCACAAAACAAAACAAAAAAGTTGATTACCGATATGACGCAAAGTAGGTTTGTGTAGTTACTTCGAAATGCACGCTCGAGTTTGAGATTCTGAGTAAACGCAGAAATTTGGCGAATATAAACTTTGGTGCATAGTCTGTCGCACCATTATACCTTGCCAAATTTGAGTGTCAAGTGTTGTGTCGCGTTTCCATGGGAAATCAGTTAGGCTATGACATAATATAAAACAGCAAACTATATTGGTTTAAATTTGAAATAGATGCGGGTTGTTTGTTACGGAAACGTTGATTGATACATCCAGCTCCTTGCCGCGACCAATCAAATCATTCAATTTAAAGAATGAGGCTACAGCTTTTCGTAACACGATCACACGTGGATGGTCGGCTACAGCGAAACCGAGCGTATCGGACAATGAATTGTATTATCCGTACCGTGTACATCCAACCATTTACAACTGACCTTGGAACAATTGAACGAACGTTGAAGTATCGACAAATTCCTAAAATTAGTGATGAGTGACGAGACTCGTGTTAACCGAGGAAAATAATACAAAATATAACATTTAAAAGCACATTTAGTTTCATTCAGGAAGCCTAAGTCAGCAAACAAATCACTAATAAATTTGTAGAATGTTTAATGTATTTCAATGTATTTGAGTGTTTCATTTCAGGCAGATGGCATGACGTAATTATCGGTTGGTCAGACTCTTAATATAATGCTAGTATCCATCCATTATATCATACAATCCCCAGCACATTGTCACTGTTCATCATATTGCCTCCACTCTTTCTTGGAGGAGAGGCGTTACTGAAATAACGTTGTGACAGAAAACAAGTAATGTTGTAAATACATTTCACTGCCCATTCCATGGACACTAGTTTCGAATTGTTTATCTGTCGTCTAGGACACCCCATCTTATATCAACAATTTGTCAGTTTGTCGAAAGACAGCACACGTTTTTCATGAATGGAAATTCAGAAGCGAGATAAGCCGGGTGGACTTAAATAAAGACGGACAAATTAAGATACAATAATATATACATAGATTAAATCGTGTTAAATACCACCCATCCATCAATTCTGACACAGCATTGTGTCTAAATATACTTGCAACAATCTAGATCTATTATTTATTATCATCAACTATTCACCTGTTTTATTTGCAATTTTTTTAGATTTTAAATTATATCAATATTTTAACAATATATGACACGATGACATATACAACTGTTAGTAAACACGTGTCGTTGTCAATCAACTCTGTGTAAGCACTTGTTTATTTACATAATACGTAATAATCTTTTTTTTTCAACAACTTATCACATTTCATTAAATCTCCGTTATGTTTCTTTCCTAGTCTTTTCGAAACCCACCCAGAATGCAAGGAAGTGTTCATGCCATTCAAAGAATTACAAGGGGACGACCTTCGGTGGAGTTCAGCATTGAAAGCGCACGGTCTGAGAGTTATGGCTGTTATAGAAAGAGTACTTGCTAGAATAGACAGTGATGAAAAAATTGAAGAACATTTAAAAGCATTAGCCAAGAAACACGTCGAATATGGTGCAAACTCCGATCTAGTAAGAGTAAGTACATTTCAATTTACTGTGCGGTATTTTTATGTGGGGCTTCTGATGAGATTATCAAAAATACAGCAATCGATGACTATCTTATAGTTGTATTATTGGTCTACTATTGTACAAACTGGACAGAGAAATCATTAGTGAATGGCAAACGTAAAACATGAAAACGAGAAAACGTGATAATACTGAATGTATCGAGAGCACACCAAGTGTTATGGTGGTAGCGTACTACAGAAACAGTGATATAGGAACTGGGGATTTACTGTTCAATAATATAATGTATATTATCACACACAAAAATAATCCCAGATATTTTGCAAAGTGACATTTACATTTGAATGTGCTTGTTATATACGTGAATTAGCCTGAAGTTGTCCATTGGAGCAATATTCACATCACAGAACCATCGTATCAAAATAATGACCTGAGTCAACCTATTAGTGTCAACTGAATTCCACATAATATAGTCACAACAAAGCTACAAGGCATTTTGAAAGCACAGACCTTTTTTTACAGCTACAACGTTATTTTTACAATAATCCTATCTGGCAATGGGGAAGACACCTTCCAAAAATTCCAGTCACCATGGCACTGGTGAAAATT